AACAAAGATCCTCTATTTCCAAACCTCCCCTGTTTTCTGTCAAACTTTCATTAAACCAACAATAATAATTTCAATATGGTGTAATACATCAAATTGTAATTCATCCTGTTGCCGTACATAGAATAATCAACGGTGGGGTTTATTCAGAAAAAAGATTAACAAATCGTTTATGAAATCATTTTATTTATTGATTAATCTTATAGTTTAGGTTGCATTGACCATTTTATGCCTTTTCTGTAAAATTAATGAAAAAGTACACAAATATACTATTTTTAATTTCTCGGGTCCCTTTCTTACCAAACAATGGCTTTCAGACCTCTGTTCCTTCTATTGGCCACTTTCCTTTTAGTTTCTACAAGGGTATGCCTCTTTGTCTCCCCTTGAGTACTGTTCACACCGAGTATATGTAATTTTTTTAATGGCTAAATGTGTAATTTTGTGCTTGTTTTGTAGGTTTCATCTAGTAATGAAGAGGAATTTCTGTTTGGAAAGGTAAATTTATAGACAATGTTTACTTAGCATTGTTAAAAAATGTGTAGAAATATTGTCAATTTTTTCTAGCTACAATGTGAGAGTAAACAAATTTGTTTGCTGCATTAGTTTTATATTGACAAATTTGGTTACAGGCACCAGCTCCACCACTAGTGAAGAAACCTACTGCTACTCCACCAACACCAGGAGCCCACCCAATGCTAAACCACCACCACTGATGAAGCCGCCCAAGACTACTCCAACACCAGTGAGCCCACCTCAGTATACACCAGCTCCACCAATAAGCCCAGCCAAGGCTACACCACCACCACCAGTGAGCCCACCCACGTCCACACCACCTCCACTAGTAAGCCCACCTAAGTCCACTCCACCTCAACCAGTGAGCCCACCCAAGTCCACACCATCTCCACCAGTGAGCCCACCCAAGGCCAAACCACCTCCACCAGTGAACCCACCTAAGTCCACTCCACCTCCACCTGTGAGCCCACCCAAGGCCACACCACCTCCACCAGTGAACCCACCTAAGTCCACTCCACCTCCACCACTGAGCCCACCCAAGGCCACACCACCATCACCAGTGAACCCACCGAAGACCACTCCGCCTCCCCCAGGGAGCCCACCCAAAACCACTCCACCACCACCAGTCAGCCCACCTAAAACTACTCCACCAACAGTGAGCCCACCACTGCCTCCAGTAAGGACAAAGAAAGGTAACATTTAACAACATATGTATACAATAAAAACACTCAGGAACAGACTTCAAATACCTTTTTTAAGTCTTTTGTTGACAATATACACTTTTTTTGTTGCATTTTTGGGCAGACTGCCTCTTATTATGTGGAGAGAGGTGCAAATTACATTCCAGTAAGAATCTGTGTGTTAGAGCTTGTGTTACATGCTGTGACAGGTGCAAATGTGTTCCACCAGGAACTTATGGCAACAGAGAGCTTTGTGGCAAGTGCTGCACTGATATGACCACTAGAAAATTAATTATCTTCATTTCGTACAAAATTGGTTTGGTAAAAAAGTGAGGAATGAAAATGAAAGCCCAATGATACCGTGTTTGTGTTTCACAAATTATTGTGGTCCCCCTGGTGTTTGTTGAGATATAAATATATAATGACTGAAGCCGCGTCGATATGCTGTGGTCCTTGATTAAAACATTAATTGTCTCCTACTCAAATCTCATCTTAATTTATTGCTAATCACCAATCAGTCAATAGAAAACCGCGGGTTACTTTTTATTATTATTTAAAGTTATTATTGATATTAAAAGGGTGTTTTATCATGTATTCTAATAAGACATGTTAAGTACAGAACATTTATTTATTTTAATATATACAAAAAGAAAAAGAAAATTTAATTTTCAATACATTAAAATACTAAATCCAGATATCAAAACCATAAGTCCATAAATGTAGAGTAATAATTTTGTTGAACGGCCCAAAGTGGTTAAAACTAATTAGTTTTTGATGTTTGTGTGGGCCGAATGATATTACGCGTATTTAGTATATAATAAATAATGTTTGGGATAAGGTGTACGAGGCATGATATTATCCAGATTTGACCTGTCTTGGATGACCGCTGGTTTATGTGTTCAAATTGTTATCCAAAACCCAATCTCAACGGCAGGATTTTGATGCCGAAATCACAAAAAGATTTAAGAGGTAGTTGGGATAGAGGGTTATTAGAATAAGATATTTGACTCTAGCATTGGCCCATGGAGAATGGGCAGTGGGTATCTGTTTGTCTCATTGTAATTTAAGAAGTGGGCCAAAGCTTGTACACAACAATCAATATGCATGCATGCAGTCTTGATCAGCATACTGCCGTTGAGATACTGTTCATTGGCTGGACTGTCTTCATATATGTATCAGAGTAACACAAGAGAAGTCTTATTATTAACACAACAAATCATGCCTCTAATTAAATCTTATCACATATATATTCGTTTCTCGCTTATATTAATTAGATCTCTTTAAAGGTTTATTACTATAGTACAATCTGTAACTTTTTTTTTTTAATTGAAGGTGAGAAATTGAATTACTAGCTGCGACCAGCCACATGCCTTCATTAATGAATATTCCTGTGGGGTGCTATGGATGTTCAATGACAATATTAATTACCAAGCAATTGAGAGGAGCTTCTCCTCACATCATTCAATGAATCTACCAATAAAATGTCTTAGATCCCAAGTATTGAAAGACGGAATGTTGTGTGCGGAGTAATGAACATTTAATTAAGAGATTATGGACTGCTAAAACTCAAGCTGCTTCTGCATCGGCTGCAGAGTCACTTATTAATTGCTAGCTCTTGAGATCAACATTTTTGGCTCAATGTCTTTCAAAATTTTTCTGCTTTCGTTGGCTGCATTTCTTTCAGTCAAATGCTACAAGGCTAATAACTCTCAGTTCTGCTCTGCATTTGCTAATAAATATACGGACATGATTAATTTGAACGTAATCAGTTGCATTTTTATCTATCAAAACAGAGAATAAATAAAGCAAAACAGAGCTCCTCTGTTTCCATTCCCCTGTTTTCTGTCAAACTTTCATTTAACTTTCATCAGGCAAGAGGAATTTTGTTTTCCAATTGGATTTTTCTACATACTGTGTTGTTAGAATATAATGGCTTTTAAGTATATACTTAATATCAGTCAGTAATTTTTTTTCTAAAAACTAGAAATATATATATAAGAAATTATTATTATTATATAATTTCATATCGTTTGATTCTTCTTCTTTGAATGAGAAGCGGGTGGTTGGCGGGCGGCCACACAACTTGACAGCGTAGGAAAAACGATGCCTAACACTACACGCTGTTGTTATTGTGTGGTTGTCATGCTAGTTTTGCTTGATTAATTGAATCTACTTGACTTTTTATTTCTTCAATTGGTAGTTGTTTTCATACTCAATTATTGCTCGCTCTCTCTCAAAACTATTTTGTCCATATCCACTACTAAAGTCTTGGTCTTCCTTTCCTTTCAAAAGAAAAAAAAACTACAGCAAAAATCTTCCCAATGCTCTGTTCATCAATCTTTGTTGCTTATTATTGCTTTCAAAGAAGAGAAACGAACACTCAATCTGCTCCTTGAATACTTTGTTCTTACTCTCAGATTAAGCCATTAAGCTGCACTTGTTTTACTCTTATCCTTCTTCTGCGTTTTTTCTTTACTCTTGTTTTCACTTTCAATTTTCTGTACTTTATATTCAGTATCCATAAATTTACTTTAAAAAAAGAAAAAAAAAAATTCTCAACTTTTCTGATACTGATAGCAGAGATCTGTTTGGTTAAAGCTAAGATTCGGTTTACGGAGCTTTCCTTGTAAGTATTTTACTTATTAAGTCTGTTTCTTTTTCTCACTTTTATCTTTATATCCAGTAGTATTCATAAATATGTAGCTTCCTTTAAGATGATTAGCAGTAGTTAGTGGGCGTCGTGTTTGCTGCCTCATTCGCTGGCTAAATAAGGCTTCAAGATACATAGAAACAAGATATATAATTCAACTGCCTCTTGGATTATAGAAATTTGTCTTAAATATAAAACAAAACGCAATCTTAAACCCGGAAAATCTATCACATGGATCAATTATGGGATTCAATTCCAGCGTTGATTTTGTTATAGAACACCAAATTTATGTAAATTAACCTTTGATTTCACTTTTTTTAAGAAGAGTATTGGAATCTCTAAATATGTAATTAATTAAAGATTACCCTATTGTTTATTAATATTAATTTCTTATTTGCACATAATAATCATAAATCATTGTCATCCGAGATATCAAATTTCTAATACTGCATATAATTTCCAATACAACAATACCAAAAACATTAGATTTAGCCCATGGAAAGGTTATAAATTATTTTCAGCTTGAAATTGATGGGAAAAAAAATATATTAATAGATGTATGGGATTAATAACCACATGTCTGTTTGATTCTTACTCGCAGGTGCACTTGTCTAGCAGAGATCTGTTTGCTTAAAGCTAGATTCTGTTTACCCAACTTTCCTTGTAAGTATTTTGTTTAGTAACTCTGTTTCTTTTTCTTTGTTTCCTATCAACCGTTTCTCACTTTTTAGTTTTTTCTTTATATCTAGTATTCATAAACATCTCACAAGAAATAGGCAATGGCTCAAGAAATAGCTGTGGCTGCTGGCGCTGAAGTTGTAAAAGAGGCTACATCAGATATATATGGTTTGCTTAAACAGCAGATCTCTTTTGTTTTCAAGCACCAGAACTACATCAACGGCCTCAAGAATCAAGTTCAGGAGATCAGATATAAAAGAGAAATGGTGCAGAGACCTGTAGAGTCTGCTGAAAGACGGGGGGAGGAGATTTATGAAGTTGTTACAAAATGGCTGAGTGATGTGGATGAGTTCACTGAAGGGCTAGCAAAATCCATCATTGAGGATGAAGATAAAGCAAACAAGGGTGGCTGTTTCAAATTGGGGTCATGTCCTAATTTGATTCAACGTTACAGGCTGGGCAAAAAAGCAATGAAGGCCAAAATGGATGGCATCGATCTCTGCGGAAAGGGGGACTTCAGTAGTGTTTCTTACCGTCCCGCACTACAGAGGACAGAATCCATGTATGTTAGAGGCTTCGAGGCCTTTGATTCTAGAATGCAAGTTTTGCAGGAAATTGTGGACGCATTGAAGGATGCTAATGTTAACATGATTGGGGTGTATGGGATGGGAGGTGTGGGCAAAACCACACTGGTCAGAAAAGTAGCTATGCTGGCTAAGGAAAACAAGTTATTTGATGAGGTGGCCATGGCTGAGGTAACACAAACCCCAGACTACGAAAAAGTTCAAAAGAAAATTGCTTTTGATTTAGGCTTGGAATTTGGACTGGAGAACGAATATCAGAGAAGTGGTTTACTACGGAACAAGATAAAGAAGGAGAAGAATGTACTTATAATATTTGATGATATTTGGACAAAGGTCGACTTGGATGCAATTGGAATTCCTTTCGGGGGAGCTGAGAAACAAGGAAAAGATGACAAGGTGAGGCGATGCATGGTATTGCTAACTTCTAGAAATCTGGATGTATTAAAAAAAGATATGAAGATTCAGAAGAACATCCCTGTTCTTCCTTTATCTGATGGAGACTCATGGAATTTGTTTGGGAAGATTGTGGGTGATTTGGCAGAAAACCCTGATTTTCATGATGTAGTAGTTCAGATAGTTACCAAATGTGCAGGTTTACCAGTTGCTATTTCAACAATTGCACATGCATTGAAAAATGAGAGTCTTAATGCTTGGGAAGATACCTTGGCTCAACTAAAAAGGTCTAATCCAAGATGCCTTCTAGATATGGATGAAACTTTGTACTCTACTATAGAACTGAGTTACAATTTTTTGAAAAATGAGGAAGCAAAAACACTGTTTCTTCTCTGCGCTCTAGAAAATGTAGGCACTAGAATGTACTTTGCTGACTTATTGAGATATAGTATGGGTTGGGGTTTGTTTGGAGATGGTTATACATTAGAAGAAGGAAGGAATAGATTGCATAGGTTGATCGATCATCTGAAAGCTCGTTGTTTATTGTTGGATGACGATGAAGATGACAACAGAGTTAAAATGCATGACATTATTTATGCTGTTGCTGTATCAATTGCAGCAACAGATAAGTTAATGTTTAATATTCAAAATGTCTCTGGCTTGAAGGAAGTACTGCGGGAGAAAAAAGATTCAAATGCTATATCTTTGCCGTATAGAGATATTTATGATGAGCTTCCCGAAAAGTTGGAATGTCCTAAACTCAAGTTGTTCTGAGAAACAAAAATCTACATATCCCAGATACTTTTTTTGAAGGAATGGAAGAACTGAAAGTTTTAGATTTGAGCGGAATACAATTCTTGTCATTGCCTTCATCACTTTATTGCCTAAAGAACATTCGAACATTGTGTTTGGATAGAAACCTGCTAGAAGATGTAGCAATAGTCGGAAAGCTAAAGACATTAGAGATCCTTAGCTTTCTGGATTCTGATATTGACCAGTTGCCTGGAGAAATCGGACAGTTGACTCGGTTGAAGTTGTTAGATTTGAGCCATTGTTTAAACCTTAGATACATTGCACCAAATGTCATCTCCTGCTTGTCTCAATTAGAAGAACTATATATGGGCAATACCTCTATTCAATGGGAGGTTGAAGGAGTCGATAATCAAGGACAAAGAAATGCTAGTCTTGGAGAGTTAAAGTGTTTGTCTAACCTAACAGCTTTACATCTTCATATTCGGGATGCTGGAGTTATGCCACAAGACTTGTTCTTTAAGAAGTTGAAAAGTTATAAGATATTTATAGGAGACAAATGGAAGTGGTCCAGTAAATATGACCTTTCAACATCAAGAACGCTCAAACTCAAGATCAACAATAGTATTTGTTTGGGGCCTGGGATTAAAACATTGTTAAAGGTGTCTGAAGATCTTTCTCTAGAGGAAATGAATGGTGTTAGAAATGTTCTTTATGAACTCGATATGAATGGTTTTCCACATTTGAGGCATCTGCTTGTAAAAGATTGTCTCGAGCTTTTATATATCATTAAGTCAGTTGCTTGGAATCTAGCCTTTCCCAAATTGGAGTCCTTGATCCTTCGTAATTTGATTAATTTGGAGAAGATATGTCATGGCCAACTCAATGCAGGGTCGTTCAGCAAATTAAGGATAATGAAAATAGAAAAATGTGATAGATTGGAGTATCTCTTTGCATCCTCCGTGGCAAAAAACCTTACTCAGCTACAAGAAATTGAAGTGACTGATTGTAAGAACCTAAAAGAGATTTTTGGTGAAGAAAGTAAAGACCATGGTGATGAAATTGAAACAAATGATAAGATTGACTTCAATCAATTGTGTTCTCTAACACTACAACGTCTACCACAATTCATAAAGATTGGTTCTGACATGAGGGTATGTTTTGTATTTTTCATCTTTTATTTTATTTTGATGTAAAAAGGAGTTTTCTTATTAGTGTATAAGTTATGTTTACGAACAAGGTTTATTTCCACAGGTTGTCTTTCCAAGATTGGAGAACTTGAAATTGTGCTCAATTAATATTGAGAATACATGGCTTGATCAACCTTTGGCAATGTCTTCTTATAGTCAATGCTTAAAAAGCTTAACCGTGGAGGAGTGTAATGGCTTGAAATTTTTGTTTTCATACTCTATGGTCAAAAGTCTTAACCAACTCCATAAACTTGTGATAGGCAATTGTAAGTCAATGGAAGTAATAATCGACTCAAAAGGGGAAGAAGGAGAAGAAAGAATAATTGATATGAGCTTTCCTAAACTATTTTACCTGAAGCTTGAAGTTCTGCCAAAACTTGTGACTTTTGGCACCGGGGATTCAATCGAATTCCAGTCTTTAAATGAACTTCATATTGATGGTTGCTCTAATTTGAAGACATTTTTCTGCAAATCTTTTTATCCAGGCACGGTGAGAGAAGAACCTGAAGAAGAACTGAACTTGGAGAACTACTTTATTGATATAAACCCTCTTTTTGATGAAAAGGTGATTTATCTTTATACTAAAAAATTATGTTTCCTATTGCTTTCAAAACATTTTTTTTGATTTTGAGAGCAAATCAACCTTACACAATATATGGACATCTTTCTCATTGTAAGATTGTGGGTCCTTTATACAAAAATATTGACATTATGGATTCTTTGCTACAGGTTTTTTTTCCAAGCTTGGAGGTGATGGTACTATTACACTTGGACAACTTGCAATTGATATGGCACAACCAACAACTCCATGTGGAATCCTTCTGCAAACTAAAAAAAGTGAGAGTCAAATTCTGTGAAAAGTTAAAGACTATTGTACCAGCTAATTCTCACAGACTTCTCACCTTTCACAATCTGAAAGAGTTAACCATTGAAAATTGTTGGAGTATGAAAAATCTCTTTCCAGTTACTATAGCTACTAGTCTTGTGCAACTTAATGACCTTCGTTTAGTCTCCTGTGGGTTAAAGGAAATTGTTTCCAAGGAGGAAGTTAAGAGGGCCCCTAGATTTTTGTTTCCACAATTAACGTACATCCAGCTTGATAATTTACCGAAACTCAAATGTTTCTACTCGGGGTTGTATACAATAGATTGGCCGATGCTAAATGGTTTGGCTGTTTATGGTTGCAAGAAAATAAAAATATATGCTTCAGAATTTCCTAGCTTCCAAAGGAAAGATGATGGGGAAAGCCAACCTGCCATTTTTCTATTAGAAAAGGTACTATGATTTAAGTTTCTTCCATACTCACTAAAAAATGCAAAATGTTTATGATTATACAAATTAATTTGATCATCGCTTATTCTGATTATATATGTGCACAAATACTGTGGAATGGCCAATTTTCCATTTTAGGTACTATAACATAAATACTTTTAATTGATTTTGCAGTTTTTAGTATGATATAGTACCCCAAATGAAAATTAAGATTTAAACTTAGCGTCAGTCAACTTTAATTTCCAATTCATAAGGACATTAATGTTTCTATTGAAAATGAAAATGAACTAAGAAGCACTTTTCCTTTTGATTAGTTATGATAAATTCGTTTTTCTCTTTAAATCCATCGAGTTGATGTATAATAATCAACTGAATGTTTCAGATATGAGATATTATTCATTTTACTGATTAAAAATTGTTGTTCATTTATGTAATTCCTATTTAAAGTGTATATTAATGTTGTAAAATATTTATTTATTTATTTGAAATATATAAATAACATAATCATTTGGAGAAATTTTGTTGTTAATATCAACCACACACATCATAAACCAAATTCTTATTTCCTACATTAAAATTTGGCTCATAAAAGTAGATAAGACCTTTTGTCTTGTACATTTCCATTTACATTATTTCCAAATTAAAGATCTGGTTATATATGTTTCTACTTGCTTATAATTAGTTGTACTACTAATTAATGAGTGTAAAGGCAGTTTAGAGTGAAGGTTTGGTGATCTAAGAATTTAAAAAAGAGGAAAACAAGGCAGAAATGGCAACTATTTTTCATTGATTAATTATTTTCAAGTACAGGGGATGTTCTTTTTATTGTAAATGAGTGAAGAAAAAATGGAAGAAGATCTCAACCATTTAGCTATAACAGAGAAACAAAAAATTTCTTGACTGCCGTTGATTTTGCTGGGAAGTAAATCAACTTGTTCAGCAAGTTGATCAACTTGCATAACTACCTTATGCCACTTGACTTGCAACTTGATTTTGGACGGGAAACATAACAAACTTCTGCAGTTTTAGTAGTCCAGAATCCAGCATTTGTTTGTTGTTTGAGTGCAGCTTGCATTCTCAATAATGATACTGATTGCTTCTTAAGTATATAACTTGTGACACCTGCACCATATATATATGAAAAAATCATAGCATTTTTCTGTGTATATCGGTGAACTTGTTGATGAGTGAATGCTAACACCTACTTATTTGCTTGTTCATCAATTCTCAGGTCATATCGAATTTGGAAGTGTTGGGTTTAGATGCACATGACTTCAAATTGACATTCCTCCACTGTGATCTAGCTAAGAGCTTTGGCAAACTTAAAGAACTTCGGCTGGGTAACTTTGATGATGAATCTGTTGCTTCTTTGTCCCGTTTCCTTCAAAGGTTAAATGTTTTGGAATCACTTTCGTTTGTTGGTAATAGTTTCAAAGAGCTATTCCCCTATGAACAAAGAGATATGTGGAAACAAGATTTACAAGGGGACACATTTCTTCGAAATCTTCAAAATCTACAAGTAGTTAGATGCCATTGTTTGACAATTTTGATGCCAACCGCAATGTCTTTCAAAAATCTTACAACTCTAGACACTTGGGGCTGCGATGGACTAGTCAACGTACTTGCATGCTCAGCAGCCAAAGCTCTTGTCAATCTCACAACAATGACAATAAGAGATTGCAAGTTAGTGATAGAGGTAATAGCCAAAGAGGGAGACAGAGAAGAGGAGATTGTTTTTGGCCAATTGAAAGTTTTGGAGCTTTACTGTTTATCAAGCCTCACATTCTTCTGCTCAACAAATTATTCTTTTAAATTCCCTTGTTTGAAGCAAGTTATTGTGAGTCAATGCCCAAAATTAAAGATCTTCTCGCAGGGAGTCTTAAGTACACCTATGCTAAAGAGAGTACAATTGACGAGAACAGATGACCCAGAATATTTTTGGAAGGAGGACCTCAACTCCACTATCCAGCAAATGTTTACACACATGGTACTCACTTATTCACAAAATTTTTCTATTTCCCTTTTCTGTCATTACTATCAATAGATCTTATATATTCATGGATATATGGTGATGATTTTAACTCAGTACTTTTTTTTTTCTTATTATATATTCAAGTATTGCCTATTTTCTTTGCTTCTTGTCTAGTAAGGAGCAGCCCTAGAATACAAATTGTTCCATAGTATTCATTCATGTCTAAGTTTTGGGTGGTTTATTAATGAAGGTACTAATTAAAACTATAAAAATTCAAAAGTTTTGTCACATTTATGTACTAATAGAAATATATATATATTTTTTTAAACTTTTTGTTCAAAGATATGTTGATGTTCTAATTATTAAAATACACGTTGAAGACCATCCACATAAAAAGTTTTATATTAGTAATTTGGGGAAGAAATATTTCTTACAGGAATGTGAAAATTGTTGATTAGGAGTTAAAACATGATAGTCAATCTTCAATGAATTATTATTCTTAAGCTTTACTGCTTTAGGTACTTGTTTATGTTTTGGCCCCTCAAAAATAAAAATCCCAATAGTGCCATGTTTTAATTAATCCAAAATTTTGGGTTTCACAGGTTGGTTTCCGTGACTTTGAACATTTGACACTCTCTCAATTCCCGAACATGAAAGAAAAAATATGGAATGGTCAGATACCAATCGACTTATTTTGGAAAGTAAAGTCATTAGTAGTGGATAAGTTTTCAGATATGTCAAGTGCTATTCCATCCAATGTGTTATGCCACTTCAAAAATCTGGAAATGTTGGATGTAAGAAGTTGTGAGTCACTAGAACAAGTATTTGATTTGGAAAGGCTAAATGCTAATGGACTTGCATTGGAGGAAAATCGTCAAGAAATTTTGGGCTTAAAGAAATTGAAATCATTGAAAATTGACAATTGCAACAACTTGAGATATGTATTTACACCATCTATACTGTTGGGTCTTGATCAACTCCAAGAGATAGAAGTGAAAAACTGTGCTTTGATAGAAGAAATCATCAAAAAGGAAGCGCAAAAGGATGCAGTGAGTGATAAAATTGTAATCCCTCAATTAAACTCTGTTGTGCTTGAGTCATTGCCTAACTTGGCACACTTCTATTCGGGAAGTGATATTTTGGAATGTCCTCCCTTGGAAACTATTATCATTAAGGACTGTCAAAATATACATATGAAGGAGTTTCGTGTCCATCTTGCATCTCTTTTCACCATAAAGGTAAGTTTGTTTCAATTCGTTTTACACGATGATAAGTTTTATCAAAGAAATTCATATATTTTAGAAACAAAATGAAGCTTTTTGTTTCTAAAACAAACATTTTATATGCATGCAGGTTGTATTACCCAGCTTGGGAGCTTCTTCTTGCTTCCAGAATTTAACAAACTTGGTCATCGATGGCTTTGATCATTTAAAATATTTACTCCCATCTTCGATGGTCAAAAGTGTTTTCAGACTGAAAGGGCTTGAGATATCTAACTGCAAGTTCATGGAAAAAGTAATAGATGAAGATGAAGAGAGATCAAGTACAATGATGTTTCCTAAATTATACCAGCTAAAGCTTAGGGATCTTCCAAAACTCACAACATTCTGCAACTCCACTGCAAAATTTGTTGAAATGTCCTCCTTATTCAGACTGTGGATTGACGGTTGCCCTGGTATGCAAACATTCATCTCCAGTTTTGTATGTGGTGCCATGACATCATCAAGCAAAGATCATGAAGAAATGAATACAAAGGAGAATTTTACTCAGATGCAATCTCTTTTTGATAAAAAGGTGATCTGTCCCCTTATTTTGTTTTTAGTTTTTTCTTTTCCTATCTATTTTATCATCAAATCTAATATATATGTTTATAAGTTACTAATAATGGATGGTTATGTCATAACTTTAATGGTAAATGAATTCTCCAGGTAAGACTCCCTAGTTTGGAGAGATTGCAAATCAGCTATGCTGATCAATTGGTAAAAATATGGGACGATCAGGTCTCTTTGGATTCATTTGGAAAATTAAATCGTGTGTTTGTAAGCTTTTGTAAAAAACTTGTAAGTGTTTTTCCATGTAAGATGCTTGGGAGACACCAGAAACTTGAATCATTGTATGTACAAAACTGTGATTCAGTTGAAGAGATATATGAAGTACTTGAGAAAAGCTCTAGTATGGTGGAGGAACCTGTTGAGAAGGATGAAGCAGTCCCTAGGTTTGTGTTCTCGAACTTAATTTGGCTTCATCTACAGATGCTACCGAGTCTCAAAAGTTTCTACCCAGAAGTATATATTTCAGAATGGCCAGTTTTAAAAAAGCTTAAAGTATATAGATGTGATAACGTGGAGATCTTTGCTTCAGAATTGTTGAACATCCACGGGACTCATAGAGAGAGTCAACAACCGCTGTTCTTTGTTTATAAGGTATGAGCCTCAAGTACTCAATTAAATCATGTCTACAATTTAATAAGTAAAATGCAACGTACATTTTTCAGAATTTCGACTCTCTTTTTCTTGTTTTATCATTAGCAATGCGTAAATTTTACTTTAAATGTGCAGTATTGTTCGTAATTGAACTAATTTTTGTTATTGAACAACATTGTCATCATTATCATTAGGAATAAAAGTAAATCTCTAAATATCTCTAATTATCTCCTTTTTTGGTTTCTACACTTTTTTTTGTGATTGACTATTTTCCTAGGATGCATTCCCAAGCTTGGAAGAACTAGAGTTATGTGAAATGCCCATGTTGTTGCATCTATGGAGAGGAAATTCTCAGCCTAGCAATGCTTTTAAAAATCTGGAGACTCTAAAAGTATCAGAATGTGGCAGTTTAAAAAATTCATGGTCATCATCAGTGTCTTTCCAGAATTTGGAGACTTTGCAAGTTTCAAAGTGTGATGGATTGAGATATTTACTGACCCCCGTAAAAGCTAAAACTCTGGATCGACTTACAAAGATGAATGTATCTGATTGCAAAATGATGGAGGAAATTATAACACATTTGGAAGATGAAGCACTACAGGATCCAATCGTTTTCAACAGATTGGATTGTTTGGAACTTCACTGTTTGTCCAGCCTTAAAAGCTTTTGTTGTGGGGATTATACTCTTGAATTCCCATTCTTGAAAAAAGTAATTGTCAGACAATGCTTGAAGATGGAGACTTTTTGTCATGGAGTTTTAAGCACAACAAAGCTGCAAAAACTACAATTGACAGAAGGAGAGAATGAAGTTGAAGAATGTTGGGAAGGCAACCTTAATTCCACCATACAACGTCTGTTCAATTGTTATGGTATGTATTGACTCACCAGAATACCTCATGCATTTCAATTGTTTAATGAATTGAATTGGTTGAATTCATATTTTCTTTTATTTCCTCAATTCAATGAGCTATACTTTATCGTTACAGAATGTGAGGAGCTCTAAAGAAGATTGAGGTAATTCCTTTAAATAGTTTGTGATACACCATGGCTCCGTTTCCCCCAGGTAAACAGACTTTGTTTCTGCCATCTTACTGATATTATCTTCACATTTGGTTGAAGGTGGAGCGCCCTTTGTTTATTAATTTGTTCTGTTGTTTCACTTGTTGGACTTGTATTATGTATTCCAATTTCTCCAAGTTGCCAAACACTTTAGGCAAACAAGACGATACAATATGTAGTTTGTTAATTTCTATGTTGATGCATTATTTGCAATTATATTAAAATAGTAATATTAACTGAACAAAAGCCCTTGCTTACTCCACCTTAAATTTACCATTTTGAGAACATAATAAAAGGATAAAGAAGAGGGAATTCGAAGCTGTAAATTGAAAGCCTATGTGTCCAATAAAGCTTAAAACAGAGATGAGATGTGACAATATGGATATGATCTACTACAAAAGGCCTTATGATTGGGATACCAAATATTTCACATCTTCCTTCTTAAATAAAGGCTTCTATCCTCTTAAAGACACCTACACCTCTCTTACTATACTCCATTCCATATTTCACCTAAACACTCAACTGCAGAATCAAGAAACACAAGCAAAAATGTAAAAAAAAAGCTTCCATCGTATAAAAGCACTCAAAAGACAGAACATTAAGATGGCAATTATGCAAATCAAATTGATATTCAATCTCATATTCAACCCAAAATTCGAGGCTTCTCTTGCTCCATAGAAAATACAAATTAATATGTAAATGACGGCATCTTTGAATTTGGAACCAAAATTATAACGAAAAAAATGAGAATTCCCAAGTAAACTCATTGGTACACCATTATAAAAACAATCTCAAGTAACTTATGCAGTGCAGAAAAAACAAACCCATACAGCCAAAGTCCATTTCCCCTCAAGAGTGTTCCAAAACCCTGGAGACCATAACAGAGCTCAAGTAAACACTCCATGCACAGCAACTCTGTTTCTAAGTTCCTGCAAAAACCTATTATGTCCACCACAAATACAAATATGCTCCCTCTACTACATTTGTGACACCATTCACTTTTTTCTCAGAAATAAAACTTGAGGTCCATGTCTCCAAAGAGATAAGTTGGCATCAAGTATAAAAGGGATAGAAAAACAGAGAATTTGAAGCTTTGAATGAAATATGAGAATGAAATTGTCTAAGAAATTTGCCTGAATTTTACTACATAGACAACTGAAAAACATCTATACCAGGAAGTACTACTGTTACTACATATAAACTAACAACTTTTTTTTATTAACACCTTTACAGCTAACTGTTATTATTATTAGCATGAAAACCCGCTCTATAACCACCCTCAATGGGTTCTTTTCATCCATTACACCCGAGTTTGTACAAGAAACAAGAGGTTGGTCAAAGGAATTCTACAAATAAACAAATAAATAAAGGAAGCGCATACCTGTTTAAATCACTTCCATATGTTGTTAAAGATGTATATATCTACACATGTAAGGACAGTTCATTAAATAAAGAAGTATATATAGAAATGATTTTCCACTTTCTACAATTGGTACTAAGATCAGAAGCAATTATAAGATATAAAGATCAAATACAGATGGCAGAATTAAATGTAATCAAAACAAACAATTAAAAGTAACATGAGAATGAAATTGCATGTAAGAAAAACTAATGTATCATATTCCTATGACCTTGGTTATAGCCCTAACAGATGTATTTGACATATATATCTAAACGTGCAAGGACAATGCATTTGAATACAAAAGCTTTTATTAAAAAGATCCAATTTCTACAATTCAACTAAACTTACACACAGAGTAGAGAAACATTTCAAATGAGAAAAATAGCCAAGGGCAACTGTGAAAGTAATATTATTGCCATCATACATGAAGCTCAAAAGCAACTACAAGATTTAAAGATTAAACACAGATCGCAGAATTACAATGAACCACGTAGCAGATATACAATGTGACCATCACAAAACTTTCCAAGAAAATAGTGATACCTTAACAGTTTCACCATTTGAATATGCCTCTGCAACATCACGTAATTTTCCAGTACTGTAGGAAGCAGAAAACTTTCCATCTGCAGCGCTATACTCCCCTAAGACCAGCAAAGGACCTGCAACCAAAACCAGCAATGAAGACACCTAACAGGGATAACCTATCTGGAATATACATCAAAGAAAAGGAAAGCTATATGGGACAGCACGTACTTGAAGAAATACTGAAGGAATCTTTGGCTCTCCAATAATCCGCAAATACGATTCCACCTACTCACAAAAAAATAAATAGATAAATTTCAAGTAGCAGAAGATGATAACCAGAAGAACTGCAAAACTAGAGAATGGATGTTATTGATCTATCCATCCATGAAAATCCAGCTTTTAGCAAGATATCTTGCAATCTAATTAAAAGATGCAATAAAATTGTTTAAATTACAATAAAAACTCCTCTAGTGACAGTCTTTTATAGCAAAACATTTGTACTGAAATGGTAAGTGCATTAAAAAAAAAAAAAAAAAGAAACTGGACTATTCTCTTGCATATTCAATAAGTTATTTAAATCAATTGGATAATCAGTTCTTCTGGTTTTGAGATAATTTGTCACCATTAGGATAGTTACCTATTTCAATGGCATCTCTAAAATCCCAACGGATCAAAATACATGTAGAAAAATTTGCTGTTTCAATATTCTGGAGTTCATAGCATTTGATGCTCATTAATTTCAGATTAAAAATATTGATATTCCGAAATGATTTTCCTTTTTGGAATGTTGGCTGAATTAAATTTTCAATAATGACAATTGTCCTAGAATAAATCATAATTGTGTGCAGGGTTCATTGTACATCATTCTAGATCCAAATTATCGCTGCAGCATGCTTATTTTGTGAATGAAATTTTGAATTTTATGAGCCTTCTTTAAACAAACCTGGGGGCCATAAGAGAGCTCAAGTAAACACTCCATGTACACCAACTCTGTTTCTAAGTTCCTACAAGAATTCAAAGGAACATTTAAAAATGTAAAGGAAAATAGTTTCATATGTCCTACAACCATTTTTATGAATCAAATCAGAGAATAAACAAAGCAAAACAGAGCTCCTCTATTTCCATTCCCCTGTTTTCTGTCAAATTTTCAGTAAACAAACATAGTAATTTCAACACGGTGTAATAACGATCTATCTATTTAATGTAGGCTGTATAGACCGTTTTGTTGATATATTGGTAAACAATTTTCTATTTATCACCTCAATTATTAGGACTTTGGCAATATGTTATCATCTAAATCTGCCCACTACTCATACAGAGTATTAAAATACCTTTGATTATACATATGCACATTTTCCTACCTTCCTCTTTGTCCTCCCCTCCCCCAACCTCTTCTTATCCCTCCCCTCGCACCCCTACTCTCAAGTCTCACCACCGCACGCACCCACCCACCCGACTCGTGCATCCACTCACCACCATCTCACGTGTCCCCACTTCCAGCGTAGCCCCTCACTGAATACAGCCCCCGATGATTTTCATCCCTGCTACTGAGTTTGTGGATTTCTTTCATACTTTTTTTCATTTCCTATGATTTTTCTTTTTTCTTTTTTTGTTGTTGATTTGAGCGAAGTGGATTCTGATTTGGATGGTTCATGATTTTGGTTTAAAGTGTTATTTTGGAAAGGAAGGTAGGTGGGTGGCCACTGGGGATTCGCTGGAAGATGGAGACGCTGGGAGAAGGCAGGGTTGAGGAGCCATACCGCCATAGAGTGGTTGCATTGACTAATTTATCCCTGTTCTGTCAAATTAACCAAAAAGAAGTAACGACTGTTAAACAGTAGGGGTTCGAGAGTAATTTACACAACTAAATTTATCTTCTCTTCTAAATGTAAAAGTGATTTTATAATTAAACAAAAAAAACACTCCAATAAATTTAATCAAAATTTAAAATTAATCCATTAGTGATTATGTGACAAGTTTTAATAATCTCAAACTAAGTCTTACTTTGATCCTTTTGTTTATAAGAACATGAAACCCTCATCAATTG